TGTCTGTGGGTTTCTTTTGTTGTTGCACCTCATCAGAGCACTGGCTGAGAAAGCTGCAGGGTGCCTTGTTCTCTGTAGTGCTAGCATGTTCTTTTCCCATTTTCTGTATCTTTGCTCATCTTTCCTACTTAGAAATGCCATAGGCACTCCTCTTAAGTGATAGTTGTCTATAGAGCCATTCTAAGCAGTACAATTAATGTAATTTCCAGTGAAAGTTTTGATGGTGAGAGGAGGTAGGAAAGACAGTTCAGAGAGGACATAGCAGGCACCGCTGTGGCTGGTGCTGGCACTAGGAAACAGATGGTTACCAGGCCATAAAATAATAATTGAACTCTTCTATGGCTCAAGCTGCAGGTGACCAGCTTTAATAAAAGAAGTTGAAGCTCTAAGTCTGCAGCCCTGTGAAATGCTGCAGTGAGAAAGGATGTGCTGCAGACACCAGAAAACAGAAGAACCAGCAGTTTAAGCAATTAAGTAGGCAGGGGAGATTACAAGGAGGAGTGAGACAGCTATTTTTGCCAAGAGTTTTGGAATATGTGCCCTAAAAACTATTATAACTTCCCCCACTGAATGTCAGCCCAGGGGAACAGTGTGAAATGCCAGATGTCTGCAGAGCCTTCAGCTCAAGCTCCATCTTTGTATCCTTCCTATCCTTCTCAGGAAAAGCTAATTGCAATGATATCCACATAGTGACAAAATGAGTCAATGGAGGAGAACGTGCTGCTATCCTGAACCATGAGATACTGTCAGATGCTGATATCTACCATTAAAAACCTTCATGATGATTTAATTGTTGGGGTTTTTTTTCTGATTGTCACACGTCTCAAACATGTGGCTTCCAGTTACACGAGTGATCTTAGCATGAAGCAGGGTCGTGGAGAGGGCAGAGCAAGTGCATGAACCCACCACCCCTGTAAGGTAACTCTTACACACGTGCCATGTGATAACACTGTAAACCCCAGACTGCCAGGAACAATCTGGGGCATGATAATCCCATAATGAGCAACAGCAGGTGCTAAAGTGCTTAAAGTAAATCGCTCCTGCAGTCAGCAAATTGTTATTTATGTCAGCACCACCAAAGAGTGCAAATCTGACAGGATGGGCAGTGGCCAGTAACCCCTGAAACTGGAGGCTGGGAGCTGCAGGGGATCCCTGGGCAGGGCAGGGTAGGGCAGAGCAGGGCAGGGCAGGACAGAGACCATCTCACTGCCCTCACCAGGAGCAGTACAAACTGGGGACAGAGCACCAGGGGTATATCCCTGGCGACAGGGACAGCCAAGGCTGGGGCAGGACATCTGTCTGCAAGTGGAGCTGGGGATCAGGAACTGTGAGGGGAACCAGGGTCAGGTTGACTGAAGCATCAATGCAGAGCCAAGGAACTGAGTGTGGTTTTACAATATCAAGTTTGTCTTCTAGTTTTGATTAGGCTGGAAAAAGAGATTTCCTCTATCTCCTTCAAGCCTTTTGTTGATTTGGACTGTGAGGAATTCCTATTACTTTTCCAGCTCAGCATGTCTGTGGGTACACCCAGAAACACCAGCCATTGGAGGTATTGATACATTATTGGCCAAGGCAGTCATGAGCAAAGCACAACACAGTATGTTTCCAGGATTGGTGCTTTGCTCCAGATGTCTGGATTAGAAAGTCCTCTCTCCTCTCCTCTCCTCTCCTCTCCTCTCCTCTCCTCTCTGTCAGTGAAGGACATGGGACTGTCACCTCTCTGAGCTGTGGCACAGGAGCAGTGTCCATCCTCACTGCATAGGTGTCAATGAGACTGAAGGTCTGGCCTGATGAGCGCTTTCTGATGGTAGCCTAAGGCAAGGTAGATGATTTCATCCAAACATTTTAAGTGTATTTGGACAAATTATTCTTGCCCTAGGAAAATATTATACTAATGAAATTATGCTGTCAACCATTGCAGGCCTGGCAGGAATTGCAAACTATTTTAATCCTCCAAGAACACATTCGCTCAGGCAATAATTTGACTTGTCATCAGTAAAATCTTAGCTCAGCTTTTTAAGAGACAGGAACACACAAAAAGTAATTGATCTCTGGGATATTGATTCCTATCACAATTGCATCAATTTTTCTCCTAAAGTCTGTAGCAAATTGATTCTATGGGCTGTATTTTCCCACCTGTATATGGGAGGTCTACAGGTTTTAGGGAGGGTTTTTTAGCATAATGCAGCAGCTTGTTGGTTTGATTTCAAAAGAACATGGAGCTTGCCAAATGTACTCAAAGGGAAGAAAAAAAAGAAAGGTAATTTGTCCTTGTAAGTACTGATGCAACATGAGAATAGATCTGTGGGCCTTGTAAATTCAATGCCTAAAGAACAGGTCCTCTGTTGAGTGCTAGGCTGCTGCAAGAGAAAAAGATCAGCCCAAAGCAGAGTCAAATTGCAGCTCAGTATTATTTCTTGGCCGAGACCCTCTACTGATCTTGGGTGTCACTGTCCCTAGCCAGAGCAAGAAAAATAAAGAAATTTACAAAACAGGGTTCATCTTACCTTTCTACATGCTGGACAGGTTATCCTGAATTTGTCATCCTATATTCTCTTTCTAGCCAAGGGAAAGAAATCCAGTTGATGTGTAATCTGATCCATTTTAAGCATCTCTGTTAGAATGAGAGGAGCTGCATTCTGAAGGTGTCTGTTTGCTTTTTTTCCCCCATTGACTACTCATTGAGTATACAGTGATTAGTTCAGACTTAGATGAATGACTTTTAAGCTGCAAACTGGGACAGATGATTCCCAGGCTAATTTTCTTTCTTTTCATTTTTTTTTTAATATTTCTCAATATCTTATTCCTAATCAGTTCAGGATGAGTCAAGAGTGCACAGCCTTGTTGGTTCATCCTTCCCCCAAAATAACCCTTCAGCTGTTCCCAATTTTTCTGGTCCCCAGTCTGCATTGCTGTGTTACACCACATCATTCCTGAGCAGATTCCCCACAGGACACCTGCTTGTTGTGTGGAGGGAGAAGTGACTGCTGTACAGTGGTATGGGAGTGAGGCTTGTCCTGGATCACACATGGGGTCCGTCTCTTTTCATAGCTGACATTTTTCCCTGTGACAAGACAAGCACAGCAACTGGTGTCACTGCCGTGTCACACTAGGTTGTGTTCATCAGGAAATACCCTGACATCACTCTTTACTGGTAAATCTCTTCACAAAGATGCAGCAGCCACAGCTGTTTCTGCACCAACTGAGCACCAATATTATCCATCTTCATTGTAAGACAAAAGAAAACCCATTTGATTTAGGTCAGACTTACTCAGATTCATTGTGGTTTTACCAGCTGGCTTCCCTCCACCACTGGTGTATTTATCTTTGTGTCACTTCTCAGCACAGAAACATACTGTTCTCCCCAAATTACAGATGGGTTCCAGAAGTAGAATTCATCTTCTCCCAGGCAACAAAGGGAGGGGTGAGAAGTTACATGGGAACCAGAGCAGAGGAACTTTACCAGCCTAGAAATGGAGCCTGTGAGAGGCCTTTCTGTGGGGTGGTGCATTGAGTTGCTCCCAGAACCACAGGCAAAGCCTGGTCCCACCTGTATGCTACTCCTGGAGGCATGAGAGACTCATTTGACCTCTCATGGTTCTTAGTTGGTAGTTTATGGCACAGATTAGTGAAGTGCAGGAAAACTGGATTCTAAGATGTAACCTATAAATACAAACAGTGTTTGTATTTTTGGAAGAGAGGGTTAAACTGATCTGTCAAGTAAATAAGGTACTGCCACCTTTGAAAAGCCTCATTATCCAGTCTAGAGCTGTCTGCCATTACTGTGTGTAAAGAGATAAAGCTGTGGCAATTAGCTATAATTTTAGTCCATGCACATTATATCTGCTTCCAACTAGAGTGAGGTCTAAGTACAGTTTATGTTTGACACTAGCCTGGCAAAAACCAGCAGAAGCTTAATAAAACAAAGGTTCACTTGCTTATTTATTAATTTATTTCTTTATGTCTGCATCACATTTGTAAAAAGGGCTGCACAGCATCATCCTCTACTGGAAATGTATTAAGACTAAATTATGCACTTCATCTTTACCAGTGGAAATGGAATATCACAGGAATCAGGGAAACTGTCAGCTGTACCACCTAGTCAGTTTAAATACAGAGAACCCCTTAAACAAAGTATTTAAGCAGCAAAATATCTTGCTTATGATTAATGATATCCTGAACATGAGGAATAATTGCATGCTTAAGAAGGAAAAGACAAAGTAGTTCTACTTTCACTGAAGAGATGACTTTTAGGACTGGCACTATTTTGGACCCTAAAAGTACAAGGATCAATGCCATTGAAGAAGACAGAGATTTTTATGACCCCAAGACTGTGGATACAAGGGTACATCTGAGAGTTCAAATTCCAAAGAGCAACATACCAATACCAGGATATGAGTTTCTTTATAGCATATATATAGTGTTCAAAATAAACAACCATTCCAAAAGATAGGCTCTGAAGATTCCTTAATAAAAAGTGCTCAATATTTCCATCATTTCTATCCATTACTAGTGCCTAAAGCAGCTGGAAATGGTGCAGTGCTTCTAAATCATACAGATAGAAAGTGGTAGTCAACACAGGATATGTGGCAAGCCAGCTTTAAAAAAAAAAATTATATTTAGACAATATTTCAGATTACATCAGTCTGCCTTTTCCTTCTTTGTTGAGAGGTCAAAAATGCTAGAGGCTTGTTTGTTTCCCATGGCTGCATAGTTCAAGGATCTACACAGTGTATAAAGACATTAAATATTCTCCAAGTCTTGCAACACTCTCACACTCAGAATCACTGATGTGAAGCAGAATAGACAGGGTCAGAGATCACCAGTAAAAAGATGGCAACTGGAAGAGTAATTCCATTAGGCAGAGGAACACTTACACCAAGGCAGCCAAGAAGACATTCCAATCTGGATCTGGCATTGCAATAAGACACAAATATTTTCATTTTCAATTTAGAAACTTTCAGTCAAATTAATTTTTTTTAAAAGTGACTGGAAGTTCTTAGCACTACTATTAAATCAGTGCTTTAATTGTGGAAGCTGGTTCATTCCTACAGTCTTTTTAATTGATCTTTTTTGAGGGTTAACCATCTTCGGGTTTCCTGGAACACTGTGTCTTCCTCTGAAATAAAATGGGTGAAGTTAGTCAGCAAATGTCACATTGCCTGTAAGTTTTAACTGCTAAAAATGTGCATGCTTTCTATATTTGCATATCTGACTACTACTGTGAATTAATAAACCTGAGAAAGGAAAAAAACAAGTATTTTTCTATGTTTACAGGTTAGCAGAGTATCTAATTATTCTGCAAACTCAATTTCATCTCATGATTCCTGTTACCTAAGTGATGTCATTTGACGAACATGAATAGAATACTAAATATTGGCGCCAGGAGAACGATAACTGGCTACAGAGACATTTTCATCAGTTAAAGAATTCCCATCAGAATAGGGGAAAACACTTCATGTAGATGTAGTTACAGCTCTCTGCAGGTATTCTACTCTGAAGAGCCAGGCTCTTGAGCCCATGATCACCAGAAATGCCTGCGGGAGATGCTGCCAGCAGACTTTTGAAGTGGTACTCATCATGGATACATACACCATCTACGTGAAACCAGCTAGAGCTTCATCTTGATCTTCTAAGAAATCAGTGGGAATGTAAAAAAAATCTCAAGGGAAAGAATGGTGCTTCCCCAAGCTGGGAGGGTCATCCTCCTGACCAAGAAACCTGTCTCTCTGCTCCTGTGCAATGTCCCTTTGTTTCTCTTCCTGCTCATTACTGTAGAGGAAAGACTGCACTTTACATACTCTAATAACAATATGCAGAGCTTCATTGTCTTTCTCAAGCATAGGCATTTTGAAGGAAAATATATCACAACATCACACCATTATATTTTTCATGATACCCAGACATGATAGAAGCTACAATGATGGTATCTGTGGAAGTTTCAAATTTGTGGGGAAAGAGTCAATGAAGTCAAACTTATTGCTCACTAGTCTTCTTGGGATTGACACATCCTTTGTTCCAGCTCTTACATGCAGTCTTTGTCTTGAAGGGAGAACTGTGCCCATACAGATATGGCGCTACTTCTACTCAGAGTTGGAAAATCACAATCCAAGGCCCCAAGGTGCTCGATAATCAATTATTCGAATACAAATCAAAAAACTCAAAAATACTCAAAATCAATTGATTGAACTGTAGATCACTGTACAGCTGGACAAAGCAGAGAGAAAATGCCTGTGTGGAATTATGCAGGCAGCAAAACCTCTTCCATTCAAAAGCAGCTGAACTTACAGATTTAGAAGCCAGGTAATTGCAGTGTTGAAAATGAGCTAATAAGCCCCACCATAAACCTCAGTGTAAGAGCAAGGGTCAGAATGACAATAAATTGGCTGCTCAAACTGCATCAGAAATATGAGCCATCAAGACATCCATGTTCTTCCCAATTGTCAGCTAGCCTATCATCTTGTCCTGTAATATCCACAAAAAGGACTTCTGCTGAACTTGCTTCTGTTTCGGACAGCCAGGAAAACGGAATGCCTCAACCATTAGTGTTCACAACTACTACCCAAAAATATTTTCCGTGTTGGTTTAATACACAGGATAGGCTTTCTATACCTGTTCCTATAGATAAAATAAGCATTAAGCAGTTTGTTAATATGGTTTGAATTTCAATGCAGGTATTTTGTAAAAGGGCAACAGAGGTGAGATAAGAACTCTCGACAGAAAATTTTCAAATTATTCTCAAGAACATGTGCGTCTTCTCTTATTTTAATGAAATTATTTCTCATTAATGTCAGCTTGAACAACCAACCTCCAGGTTATAAGTCAAAACATAATTTAAAAGGAATAATATAACAGTGGCCTGTGGTTACCTTGTGATGTTCATGAGGTGCATACTTATATTCTAGTATTTTCTTAAAATACAAACTATGCCAAATCCCCATTCTTACATCCATGCTGTCAGCAAAGATCAAAGTTTGTCCTGTTCTAAGTCTCTGGTTATAAAAGTCAATCATTTGAAAACAAAGTCATTTTATACTAAGGACAATTTAAATGATGAAAAATTATCTTTATGTGTTTAAAGAACATTGAAAAGTTAAAAAAAATCCTCTTAGGGAAAATGGATTGAAAGGGGATATTTTGTTATACCACACATCTTCTGAGACCAGCAGTTACAGGACACTTTATTTTCTTTTGCACTTTATTTTCTTTTGTTTGATATAAAAAAATTACAGAAACACACTGTCATATAATTTCAGGGTAAGTAATGGTCTATTAAAATAGCTTGTAAAAAAACCCCACCATAATCACAGATCAGTGCTAACCCTCAGCAAACCTCAGTATCTGGCTGATGATATTTAATCTCACTGCAGAGGCAGTGAATCCTCCTGGTTCTAGCTTTCTGACCTTCTCCATATGAACCATGTTAAATATCGCTGGGGCCAGAAGTGATACAGTGGCATATGGGGCACTTCAAACCCACACAGTGCTTTTTATATATTGAGAAACTTCAGTTATAGAACTGAATTAATATTGTACTGAATTAATTCATTTTCTACTAATATCCTCTCATGGAACATGAAGATCCACTGTTCCAATTTATGAAATCCTGTGATTCTATGCTTACAAAGAATGAAAGGAAAAGGCTGGTATTTTACACAAGACCACCAATTTATATTTCTAACCCATAAAAAGAAGTCTGTTAAACAATGATTTAAACACATGTATTTTCAACATTTGCATGAAATAAAACTGATTGAAAAGCAATATCAAAAATTATGTTGAGTAATATTTTGCCGGTGGGATTATGCTGTGATATTTATTATGAACAGAAAGTTGCAATGTTCAAAACATGGCACTTAGCAAAAAATAATTAACCAGAAAACAGGGAATATAAAGGAAATTTACCTCAGTATCTGCTTTTCTCCCTTCCCAGTCATAGCATCTGTTTTTTGCCTTTCAACAATTTTAAGTTTAGCTGAGGTCTGCAAAAGCCAAATTTTTACAAAGCAAGTTAAATCTTAATCACAATCACAGTTACAGAAGTAAATAGGATTTGCACAGATTTACTTTATTGAAGGCAAGAAATTTTTATACTTGAGGATGTCCAGTATTAAAGATGATGCCTGGTATAATTTATCATCTTATCATATCTGAGGAGATGTGATTCTGTGACATATGAGGCAAGAACAATGCCACGGTTGCCTTCCCTGTTTTTGTAATTTATATGAATATAGAGTGCCGCTATATGATTATTATCCATAGCACTTTTTGCTGGTACCGTTTACTGCAGGCCTATCCCAACTAAAATTAGCCATTGTTGTACAAGGAGCTTTCCAGCTGTAGCAATCTATAACCATGGGTCTTTTCTGCAAAGAAATCTCAGTCTCAAGTCAGATTCCACTATGCTAGCAACAGTTTGTGGCAAAAATCTGGCCTGAAAGAATGGCCTTTTAAAGGAACTGCTATCGTTCTTCTTTGCTTGGCTCTCAAATTGATTTCTGAACACCACCAGAGAGTGCCTTTAAGATCTGTGGACTCCAAATCCCAAACAAATGCTTTTCCAGATTGAAAACAAAACAAAAAAAAGCAAACAAGAATACAACAGACACCATTGGTGCTTCTAGCATGAATTCTCAAGATTGTGAATTTTAAAATTTATTTTAAAGCTATCATTTAAAACTAACTACATCCTTATGGACCAGACAAGACAAACATCAAAAGCACTCAGAAGATAAATATATTTTGTAAATATAAAAAAGCAGAAAAGCACTCAGTAACTTAAAGGTAAATAAAAGAAATGGCTGCTCAGAAGTATCTTTGTCTTCTGCTTCTGCCGCAGGCTTCAGGAGAGATCCAAAACGCTGCAAGAAAAGCCTAAAACAGCTGGTATTTTTTAATACCTACCAGTAAAATACTTCACTTCTATGATATTTATTTTCTTACTGTCAGCTATGAAAAAATTACAAACATAATGAGAGAAAACAAAGGCTTAAAAGAACACTATATCCATTCTCTGTAAATAAAAGAGTGTCACTAGGATACATCGTTGTCACAGGATAGCAATATCCTGTGGTATATTTACTGTGCAAGGTATGGAAATTGTTAGCCTATGGGTAAATCCTTCTAACTCAAGAGTAGCCAATATTAGTGTGCAGAACATTGATAGTTTAATACAGTGTTCTGCCTCTATTGTTAAAGTGAACTGTTGAAAGTGAAGGCATACATATGCAGATTTTAAAATAATATAAAAGTTAAATCAAAATCATGGCAGAAGAAGACCTGAGGGGCACAGATGTACCACTGATCCTTTTGAAATCAACAGTAAACCACAGAATCATAGAATATCTCAAGTTGGAAAGGACCCATAAAGATCATCAATTCCAACTTCCTGCTCCTTGCAGGACTACCTAAAATTAGAGTGTAGTCCAGTTGCTCCTTGAAGTCTGACAGGTTTGGTGCTACAACCAATTACCTGGGGATCATGATCCAGTGATTGACCATCATTTCAACGAAGATCCTTTTCCTAATGTTCAATTTGAAGGGAAGCTCTGATGCAGCTTCATTCCCTTTCCTCATGTCCTATCACTGGTCACCACAGAGAGGAGATCAGCACCTTCCCCCTCCTCTGCCCCCCTGGAGGAAGGTGTAGAGTGGGATGAGGTCACTGCTCAGCAATGTTGTCACCCCTCAGCATTCTCTCATCTCAGCTGAAGCAACCAAATGACCTCAACTGCTCCTCATAAATCCTGCCCTTGAGGCCAACCACACTGTCCACCCTCCCTGGGACACACTTGAGTAGTTTGATGTCCTGCTTAGACTGAGGTGCTCAAAACTGCACACACATGTGGGGGTTACTGCCCTGCTCAGAGCAGCAATGTACAAGGTAGATGATTCATCTAAACTACTCACTTAGGCTCTGCTTAGAGCTCAGGAGGAGGGACAGAAAAATGCCTGGGGTAATTAATTTCATCTTGACCTAAAATAGAAGTGATACTGTGCACCTTAGACAAGATTCTTTCTTCAGAGATTACAGAGGATTCCTCTACAACTACTTTAGAATGGCTATTTGACATTTAGAGAACTAAACAAAGGAATATTAATCTGAAGACGACTATTTTGCTCTCATATGATACTGAAATCATGAGAGTAAATAAGAAATTCCTGAAAATAAAATGCACTAACTACTTTGAGTGTTGACTGCAAAATCCTAGACCCCAGTCCTCCATTATGCAACATGCCAGTGCACATACCTCTCTTCAAATGGTGTTTTACACGTATTTAAGTGTTTTTATAGGGAGCTGAACATAGGCACTCCTCTTGCTAGCATGTTCAGTAATACAGTCTGCTTTTATTTCCTTTCTTCCTCCAGAAGTTCTCAGTTTCATTGCTAATGTAAAGATATTAACAGTTATCAAGAGCATTTCCCAGGTTTTTTCTTGGTTTCATGCTGGAAAGTTCACTTAAGCAATTCTTTTAGATTTCCCAAAGTAGCAATGAACCATGTAAGGGAATCAGTTGCCCACTGTGCAAACACATGCAAACACTGCTAATTACAGGCTTTTACCCCAGTTAGCTATGAAAGGGACTCAGTGGCAGCAATTCTTGAATATCACACTAAGCATTACTAAATGTAATATATTACTTTTACATTATTCAGGAATTTAGAGCTTTTCTAGAATAAGAAGTAATATAAATCTTCACAGATTCCTTTACAGATTCCTCCAGTTAGTAGCATAAAATCTTAAGTATTACATAATTTGCAACAATAAAATTTAACCTGTGATTTCACCAAATCAAGGTGTCATCCCTGTTAAATAAAGTTAATGGAAATATGTGTTGTATTTCATTCTGAACTGGTCACATAATTTGTCTTTAAAAGAAAAAAGGAGAAACATGAAAAGAAGGAATTACTACTTAAGGGGGGTGTCACTAGTGCTGCTAATTCGCCTCTGTTCTGTTCAACTGCATAGCAGTCTTGTGAGTAATGGATGGCCAAGCATCAGCTAATTGCTTGTTTTCTCAGTTATGGGCACTTTACTATGCTAGGGAACACTGAAACTCCAATCGATATAAAAAGTACATAAATCGATACAAAAAAAGTATTTAAAATAAATAAACTGTACAATTTTTCAATTTATGGCTCTTAAAATTTTTACAAAGCAGTTTTTGTAAGATATTTGGTATACAAATGAAGTGATAGAACACCCTGATCCAATGGCATTAACAGATGCTGTTGTTATATTAGGAAAGCATTAAAAGTTACTGAGTCACACATGCTTCTTACCTGTAAGATCTCTGAGAGGTACATGTGCCGCTCATCATTAACTTTGTGGTAAGCCTACAGTTAAAATGAGATATAGGCTACCATTACACACAGATTTTAAAAGCTGAATCATACAAAAGATTCAGATATACAGCAGAGCCTTTTCCCAGTGACACATTTAGTAGAATTATTCTATTGTGTGTTCCACACACAGTGTCTGTTTGTCACACAACATAACAGCTTTTACAGTCTAGAGGAATAGAGTGATTACAAACCTTTGCTTCTTGTTCCAGTCTAAGTTCATAGTCCTTTAGCTGATTCTGGAGACTTTTCTTCTCTTCTTCCAGCTGTTTAAGAGCCCTCTTTAAGGAACCCTATGGTTATGGCAAATAAAACAGTGTTTTACAACTATTTCCATTCTCTATAAAGATGTCATCACCATAGTCCTTATTCTTCAAGCATTATGATGTTTGTCATTCTCTTTGGTTCCTGTGCATTTTTTTTTTCATGGTTCTGGCTGGCACAATGCAGAGACAAAACAATTTAACGATATGCTACAATTATCAGCTATGCGTTACACATTTCCACAGTGTTAAAATGATTCAGGTACAGTTTTCCACACTGCTGCTCCTTGGCATCTTAGCAAAGTCACTCTGTGGTGAGCAGTCAGAACTGCTGCTTAGTTCTAACGAAAATTCCCCCTGATGGCTCTTTTTCAGTGGGAAGATTTCACATCTTAGCAGCACATCCATTTTCAAACCACTTGCTGAGAGAGCTGCTGGGCTGGTTGAAGAGCCACATGGGATATCAAAGGTAATTCAAGCTAATTTTGCTAGAAAGCAGTACTTTGTGGGGAGACTGTCCGAGGTGTGCAGCCATCTACCTTGTTCAGTATGAGTAACAGCAGTAGAGTCCATTTGGGTTACTGGCACTGGCCAAAACTTTGCTTGCTGTCTAATGGAAGTAAAACACGCACCCAAGCAGGTGCTCCTCTACTTCTAACACAGGAAATTGCTTTTCATAATCCCATTCATAGTTTGTTCCATTTCATCCAGTAGAGACATTATTACAGAAGTCTCTAACATACAGTTTTGCCCTCCAAGTTCAGGAACAAAGAAGAATTTGGGCAAACATGCCAGGAGGCCTGTGAGGATGAACAAGTAGCTCCAAGTTGGAACAAATTCAAACACAAGAAGGAAGCCTAGAGAGGGTAAGAGAGGGTAGAAACATAGATTGGTAGCCTGGGAAGAATACAGGGATTGTTTAAACAGTCAGGGATCAGTTTAGGAAAGCTACAGCCCTGACAGAATTAAACATGGCTAGGGATGTCAAGGGCAACAAGAAAAGCTTCTATAGGTACATTAGGGATAACAGAAAGTCTAAGGAGAATGTGTCTCCTTTCCAGAGAATGGCTTGAGAGGGTCCTTTAGAAGGAGGATTTGGGGATGTTGGTAGAGGAAAACCTTGGCATGATCTGGCAATATGGCTTGGAGTCCAGAAAGCCAACTGTATCCTGGGCTGCATCATAAGAAGTGTGGCCAACAGGTCGAGGGAGGTGATTGCCCTCCTCTGCTCTGCTCTCTTGAGACCCCATATGGAGTAATGCATCCAACTCTGGGGCTCCCAAGATAAGGATTTGGGCCTATTGCAGCAGAAGAAGGACCAGAGAAGGACCACAAAAATCACAGGGCTGGAGCACCTTTCCTCTGAAGACAGTCTGAGACAGCTGGGATTGTTCAGACAAGGGAAGGCTATGCAGAAACCTTTTAGCACCCTCTAGTACCTGAAGAGGGCCTACAAGAGAGCTGGAGAGGGACTTTTCACAAAGGTATGTAGTGACAGGACAAGGAGTAATGGCTTTAACTGAAAGAAGAAAGTTCAGATTATATATCAGGAAGAATTTTTTTTAGTAAGGATGGTGAGGCACAGGTACAGGTTGCCTAGAGAAGTTGTATATGGCCCATCCCTGGAAGTCTTCAAGATTAGATGGGACTCTGAGCAAAACAATCTAGTGTAAGGTGTCCCTGCCCATGACAGGGGTGTTGGAACTAAATGGTCTTCAAGGTCCCTTCCAACCCAGATTTTATGATTCTATGATTATTCAAGGTCAATTTACACCTGTTTGCTCTTGTCCTTAAATGTATTTTAATATAATTGTTCTTTTTCCTCTCTGGTGTTTGTTCCCAGCAAGTATAAACTGAAGACATGAATATCTTTTTTCCACATTCATTTTACTAGGATGATTAAGATGAACTTGGAAAAATTATCTTTCACACAGCAGGCTGTCCTTTCATTTAATCATCCTAGTAACCCCTTCGTACACCAGGCTGGAGCTCAACCTTCTTATGGCTGGAGAACAGAACTGGCCTACAGCATGTAGTACTCCAAAAGCCACCTCACTGCCTTGAACAATGTCAGTGATTCTACTTCTCTATCTATATAAATTTTAGGATTGCATTTTCCTTTTGCACAGTTGCACAATAATGGCTCACAGTCAACAAGGCATCAGCTAGAATACCCAGATGCTCCTCTGCAGTTGTATCAGTTCTCAATTACTAACATAATTTCTTTATTATTTTCTAAATCCTTTGGTATACGCTTTTAAATTTTACTCACGTTTTTAATAATCTAGTCTTCACTGTCTTTTTTAAATCACATTCAGATCCCAATTATATTATATAATTGGTTTCAGGAGAGAGATATCACAATCTAATTCTACTTTGTGTATCAAGGTCATGCATTAAATATTAAGATTCATTCTAAACCTGGTCCTGGAAGACCTCTGCTTGTACTCTCCCAGCAGACGCCTTCACTAATCACCGCTATCATGTTCCATTTGCCAGCTCTTTACTCATTTAACAAATCTACTCATTTTCATTTTCTCAAAATTAATCAGTTACTTCCCATGTGACATGATATCTTTATCAGAGGTCACAGTGAACAAGATTACTGTATTTCTTGTGACAACAAATCTATTGTTTTATCACAGAATGTCAACAGGTTTGCTCACCATGAGCCCCTTTTAATATATCCATATTTCAATTTCATTTTGCAACAACTATTCCTCTCTTTATCTCAAAACTGGGAAAGAATTGCTTTTCTCCAGTGTACACAATGTGCACATGTTTATTAGAACCACTTGCTATCAGATCAGTGATGTGACAAGCCAGTTCTTTCAGAATCCTACGATATGGGTTACACATTTCCCTCATTTTAAGCATATCCAGCTCTTTGAGTTTTCCTTAGGATTTGGTTGTCATTTCTTCTTCCAAGTACTTGCTGACATTAGCTATTTTTCCCTTTGTCCTGCATTTTATTGTTTCTGCCTTTACTTAAACCCCAGGCAATATATACATGTTTAACTTAAAGTGAATAAATTCATGATCACTTGATTTGACAGGTTTTTTGACTGGCTTCTCTGTAATGTTCTTGTACATTTTAAAAATATAATATACTATTGAGTCCTTCTTATCTATTATCTTCTCATAAAATGTGTTAATTATCCATTGAGTTTTGTGCCTCATCATTACTAGAACTTGGTTTTTACTCTTTATTTACAATTCAATTTTTGTCAGTAGTCTAATAATATTGTATCCAAATTCATCCATCCAAATATTATATTTATATGTATATTTGACTGGATGGGATTCAGCCTGAGGTGAGGGTATTGACATTTGAGTGTCCAAAAGTGAACTGAACTCCTAATGAGTCACAGTGAAGACAATCAATGATATGCAATGATTCATTCAGCTAAACAGCTAAAGAGCTCAACTCAGTTCCATCTGAGTTGCTCTAAGGAGTCTGAGACATTCACTGTGGCAGATATGCCATATAGGTTACACAAGACACGACCTTCTGGAGCAGTAATGGGTTACTGTGCACTGAAACATCATAAAAACTCTTTGCGAACAGAATTATTTCACTGAAGATGCCAATCAAATAAATCTAGATACAAATCTCTGTACTCAGCTGTCTGTTTAATAATACCTGTATTCCTGCCTATAAGAATTAAAAGACCTATTAAAGAGGTAAACAGCTACATATAGGAAAGTAAATATTTGTGTCCTAATGTTTAAGAGTGTCATCTTGTTTCAATGTACATTTAAATATTATTTCCCAATACTATTGTGACTAAACATTGTTTTCCAATCCATCCTCAAGATGAATTCATCCAAACAGCTGATGAAGAAAGAATCAACAACATTGTCAAAGTCTCTCACACCTGCTACATACCACATCTATCTCTGTTTTGTTCTTTCCTGGCAAGTGAGTACCTTTAATACTTGTTGTTCCTTCATGTTTTTGCTATCAATGCTATTATATTCCTGGTCAGTCAGGTTCATCCATTTGTTTGCTCAGGTCTCCTGTGTAAAATAAGTATCTGTTCCAAATTTTTTTTTCTTTTTATTTCTAACACAAGCACCTCTTTAGTCAAAATAGATGAATTGTTTCCTTTTTATACTGATTACTAGACCATTCCCATAATGATCAATTTCTTCTCATGACCTTAATGCTTTGCTAGGCCTTTGTTTACCAGATTTTCCTGGTAAACACTGAAACAAGATAAAAATTCTCCAAATATTTTCCCCTTCTTTTTCCATGGGAATATTTTTAAAAATTCCCTATTTATCATGTTAGCCTCAGATCCAGAAGGCCAATATCCATATATGGCTTATTTTTCAGAGAGTTTATGAATGCTGGCTGCTGGTAAAAAAATTACATCTGCCTGTTTTAAGTCTCCAGTCTTTTCTAGCAGCTGCAGATTATTGCAACTTTTAGTCTTTTGCATAATTTTCTGCAAAATATGTTACTTATTTGTCTCCAAATTTTACTTTTAATTTTAAAAACTGTGGGTTGCAAGAAGATATCACTAGGAATTATTTCTGTTAAAATCAAGATTTTGCAGGAGCGTGGCAAAAAGCATAGTACGTTTAAAACATGTTGCAAGAAAGAATGACCCCTCTCACTGTTAAAAGAAAAAAAAAAGAGATCCAGAAGAACTGTATCTTTGAAGAGTATTTGCTCCTGACTGAACTGTTATTAACTTTAATCTATTCCAACTGGCATACTGTAGACATGAAAAGAATTAAGGGGCAGTTGCAGGTTATTTTCCTAATTAAAGCAGAAGTACCTTGGATGCAGATGAAATCTTTGTCCAAATACAGAAGGCTCCTACAGTCAATTCAGGCACTGTTGGCCAATTCAAGGAGTAAAAGAAAGCTGCAGATTAAAGTGAAGATTTGGCTTAATTCCACTAGGGTCATGTGCTATTTCATTTTAACATCAGTGTCTCTACAGAATTAAACAAGACAGAGAAGACCTCAGCACTGTTGAAATAGGAAACCAATTTTTTTGCCTCCTTGACCTCATGCAC